GACTCCGCTCGGCGGTCTGCCAGCAGCTTTGCCAGCGCTTTTGGAGTCCGTGTACGGAAGACATCAGGCAAAGTGAAAGTGTGTGCTTTCAGCGCCGTTTGCAGCCTCATGGCCATTAGTGAGTGGCCTCCAAGGTCAAAGAAGTCGTCGTCAACACCCACTGGCTGGCCAAGCACCTCTTCGAATGCTTTGCAAACTTCCTGCTCCCAGTTGCTGCCTTTCGCTTCACTGATTGATTTGCCAGGCCGAGCTTCCCAAAAAGATTCGAGCTTAGCACGGTCCACCTTGCCGCTGTTGGTGAGTGGCAGCGCAGGGAGGCACAGCGAGACATCCGGCACCATGTAAGTCGGCAAGAGGCTGCCAACTCCTTGACGTGCGGCCTCGGCCGCACCCGCTTCCGCAACAAGAAAGCTCACGAGGTGGCTTCCGCCATCTGACGAGGGCAAAGCCAAGACGCTCGCTGCCTCTACGCCAGGCTGCTTCAAGAAGGCCAGCTCAATCTCTGCTAACTCCACCCGGTATCCGCGAACCTTCACTTGCGAATCTCTACGACCGAGAAATTCCAGTACAATGTCAGAAGCAGCACAGCCCATGATCTGGGACGTGTCTCCCCAAGGCTTTAGTTGCATAAAGCGGACCATGTCACCTGTTCGGTACATACGCCCACTGTGAAGGGAGTTGGGCAGGAAGCGTTCTGATGTCAAGTCTGGACGGCCAATGTAACCCTCGGCGACTCCGACACCGCCAATGTACAGCTCCCCTGTCATTCCGACATGCAAGGGCCCCGCGTTGCCCAGACAGTAATACTGATGATTCCAAATGGGTCGACCGTACGGGATAGACTGCCAGTCGTCATCCAGGTATGCCACCTCGAAGTAGTTCGACCACACAGTGACTTCTGTGGCCCCACCCAAGGCCACCACGCGCTGCGCCCCAGCCTGGCGTACCGTCCGAACCAAGCTAAGCGGCACCCAGTCACCGCTGAGGAAGACGAGGCGCAAATTACTTAGCTTGCTGCCCGCTCGATGCCAGTCGGCGAGTGCAGGTTCCAGTTGCTGCAGGACTTGCGGCGCCGAGTCCCAGAAACTGATCTTGCCAGCTGTTATGAGCTTGAACAGCTGGTCAGGAGCACTTGAAGGCGCCAGATGGATGGTGCTCCCAGCCGCAAGGGACCCGAAGATGTCGTAGCAGGACAGGTCGAAGCCGATCGATGTGGTGAAGAGCAAATCATCCTGGCGCCAGGAGACGCTTATTAACAGAGTTCAGGACAGAAATGAAGCTGGGTCCATGCAGCATGGACCTAGCTCTGCAACACGCTTGGTCACACCAGACACACTCTCAAATGCACTTGAAATTCTTGCGGAAAGCATCCTGCTGCGTAACGTCGAAGGTGGTGTTCCTGGGTTCACATGTACTCTGTGCTACTTGGCCACCTCGGGCAGCTACGGTCAGTTGTTGCAGGCAAGGGGCACCCAGTCAACCAAATGTGCAATTGAGCGATGTGTTACGGCAACGCCCTTTGGCTTGCCTTGCAGGGCCAGTTTTGTCCAAGACTGTGGGGAGCTTTTTGTGCTGGGAGGACCGTGCCCCGTCTAAATGTCTAAATGTCTACCATGTTTTGTTCAATCACGCACGGCACGCAACAGCCGCGGCTTTGGCTCTGCGGATCTGCGCCACAGGTCACTCACAGGTCAAATACTGGATCATTCAGCATACCATTGTCAACCCTTAGAGGGCTACGATGTTGCCAAATTTCATCCTAAGACTTCTGTTGTTCAGTAGCCAACACTGGGGATGCGTCAGTGAGATCCCGGCCTGTTGACCCCGAAGTGAAGATGACATATGCAAGGCCCTCGCAGTTGACCGAGGGAAGTGGCTTGTGTCCATTGACAATATTCTCCTCGATCAGTATACTTCTGGCAGAAGGCAGGTTCAAAGGGTGATTGCGGACGCGCGACGGGTCTTTATCCCAACATCCTACAGTCAACAACCAAGCGATTGTACGAGAGTCGAGAAGAACGGCTCCATCCACGGCGATTGTTGAGGGAGTCGAGGGCGGGATCAGTGGCAGCTGCTGAGGTCCTGACTGTGCAACAAATCCAGGCAGACATGCCTATCAGAGGAATCACATGCAACCAGGAGGACCCCTGCAAGCCCAGTCCTGCAAGAATAAGCGTCACCCTCGCATCTTGAGTCATGTGCTCAACCCGCTGCCATGGCAAGCGCTCGTCGCAGGGGACGTAGACTGCCCCAGTGCTGAGAATCGCAAGAGCTGATACCACCACCTGTCAGGCAAACATCTAACATATTAACATACCTTTGACACAAGTGAGCCGTGTGCAAGCATCCGAAAGCTTTCAGCATTCACCCGGCCATCTCGCTGCGAGGCATCCAAACCGCAATAGCGCCACCGGTGGCGTGGTGCAGCAGCCACTGCGCTGCCTGAGCCACGCTCCTGGCGAGGTCCTTGAGGCAACTAAGCTCTGAGGTAACAAAAGAACCCTCCCACTGGCCTGGCTACGTCTCAAAGGCATTCCCCAGTTCCTGTATACAAAGCCTGCACTGGACACATCTTTAAAGAACAATGCAATACACGGGTCCTTGTAGCTTGTGGCCGCCTGTACCTCACCTGTAGAAGCATAAGACACCTCGGACTGCATGGGTGACGGTGGTTGAGAGCTGGAACAATTGGCCACGCTCTGGTCACCGGGTGCTCTTGGTGCAGCCCCTGAAGAACTCCATGAAAATCACACATGCTGCAAACCCTTGACCGCCGTCGCACATGAGCTGACGGAACCCCGCAGCTGATGCATTTGATGCCCTGGACTTCAAAGCTCATCTGCTCAAGCGACAGCGATTACAGGTTTTCTCTTCCCTGTCCTTCCACGAACAACTCCACAGTAGTTGCTGGAAGGATTCACAGAATTTTAGAGGTGACGTGCAGTTGTCCTGATGTGCTACATAAAATGAGGCATGACATCCTGCTTTGTAGACATGCCAGCCCCTAAGGCCAAGTCACCAGTGCCGGGTGGTCAGCGGGTACTTTCCCAACGCGGTACATGAACCGCTCGTGCACGAGGGCTGGCGCATATGCTCGTCGAGTGTCATTGAAATCCTGGCATTGAGGTACGAGCACATTTCAACTGTCGCACCCCCTCACATAGTTGATGATGCGAATCTCGCCGGCCTCCAGGAGCAGTCGCCGCACGGCAGGTGGAGGGAAGTCCTGAGAACCTGTAGACTGTTGGCCGCAAGGCAGATGCATTGGGCCAATGCATTATGCAAGTGAACTGTTTAGCTTGGATACCAAGGGTGAGAAAAGGATGGGCCTTGGTCCAGGTCGCGAAGTAGCTCGGCCACACCAAGCAGCTCGGGCCGGCAGAAAAGCTCTGCCTGAAATTCTCGCATGTCAGCAAAATTTTAACAGCAGACCGTGAAGCAGCTGCTTAGCCGAGTCTCATCAGCTCCGGCAATGGCAAGGCAAAAGCAGGGCTGCAGCTGCAGGGTTTGCAGGCGCCTCATTAAGCTGGAGCAAAACTCTGCACTGTCGTCCCTTCGTCCCCGGCTCATGGCCAAGGTGCTCCAAAGCGTCTTCCCAGCCAACCGCAGCCCACAGAATGCCTTCCGAAGCCATGATGCATAGACGAGATCAGCAGTCTGAGTCTCAGGAGTCCTTCTGCACAGGAGCTGTTGCTCGCGAGCCTGCAACAGAGGCCAACACGGAAAGGAAGCCAGAAGCAAACACAGATCAAATAGCCATGTCCCAACGTCCAGTCCGTGACTACACGCGACAAAGCAAGCGACTCTCGTCAGCTTCACTGCTCTCGGAACGAGGGTGCATTGGGCCTCGCTGCCAACGCCGACAATACCGCAGGCGGCGGCCCCGCAGTCTCCATTGCGGTTTCATCGAGGCCTCACAGTAGACGGAGTACCAGATGTTTGCTGTGTTCCACGAAAACACAGAAGCACCCAACATGGAAACATGCGAAGGTCCATGGTTGCTCATCTCATCATGTGGCAGTTCCAGAGAAGCAAGACAGAACCTGTACAGGCCTGTAAGATCTACCTGGATGGGCACAGGAGCTGCATGTGACGGACCAGCAAAAACAAGCACTGAAACCTCAGAGGGCACAGGTGCTGCTTGGGACGGACTAGATCAAGCATTTTGGTCCGGTACGGAGCCAATGTGCGCACTGCTGAGACTGCTTTGTTGCATTGAATCTTGCAACAGAGTTGCCCTGGGACACTGAGCAAGGTGGCAGAGCCTTTGGCCCAGAGCACTTGCCCAAGCCAATAGACCTGTCAAAGTCAGTCTGGAGAGTCTTCTGGGGAATCGCAGGACATCTCAAGTGGTTTCCTAAATTTCCTTGTCACCGGCAATTTCCGCGCAAACGACAAGACTTCTTGCAGCTGGCCAACTCGGCGAGGCGTTGTGGGACTGCAGCTTTGCCTTAGAAACAGTCTGAAAATCTGGAGCCAGCAGATGCAACAGCTTTGCGTCCCGCAGACTTCACGCATGCAAGCATGCGGGCTCCTGCTCTTCTTTTGCGCGAGAGGGCCAGCCATAACTGGCTGCATGCAATGTCGGCATTGCAGGTCCACGCACGGTAGCTCAATGGCAACTCTGTGCTGGACTTTCAAACTCAAAGGGCCAGGTCTTCGATCTGACCCCATCCTTGAAACCGCATGGAGCTTTAGCTCAGGATTTGCAAACCAGCCCCCAAATCTTCCCCGCCCCAATCTCAACCTCAACTTGGCTTTTTTTGGAGGGATTCCAGGGCTCTGGGAGCGGATAACTAGCTGCAAAAATCCTCAGAAACACTCAAGCGACTGGAGGGGGTCCAGGCTTAGGGTTGACAGCTTGTGCTCGACCAAGGGAGTGGAGGAAAGTCCACAATACCTTGCCTAGACTCTCCCAAGTCGGCAAGCTTTGCACACGGCGCCTTGGCAGCGTGCTGGCACACGACTTGTGAAAACGCTTGAGGGTCCTCTTTCTTGCATTAAAAAGTATCTTGAGTTGCAGCCCGGGCAGCGTTCTGTACATCCTCTTTCTCCCAAGCTGCTTTGAGTTGCGTTTTGGGTTTCAGTTGCTCATCCAAATTTGTGTCAGGAGCAATCATCTTGGGTGACGCTCCTGCCGAAAAAAGGCACAAAGTGATGGTGAGCAGCGCAAGAAATGGGAGAGCGGGCAGTAAGCTGGTGTGCGAAGTGAGATCAAAGGTGATCCGGAGCGGCAGCCAAGCTACAGCCAGCACACATGGAAAGATGAGGTATGGGAGGATCAGAGCCAAAGTGATTCTACTGAAGTATCGCATCAGCCACACACCCAGCTTCCAACTCACGATGCTGACCCAAATACCAAACAGCATCTGCAAGGAAACATTCATCCACCTGATGATCCACCGGGTAGCCCACACAGCACGATCCAAGTCAGAGACCAGTTCTGCAGGAGGGCATGGTCCGGCTCCGATCTTTGAGATGTAGTCAGCCAGTTGCGGTGCGTTGGAGCCGAGCGTGATGTACACATACTGCCTTAACGGGAGCGTGTAGCCCCCTACGGTTTGGCGAATAGTCTGTGAAAGCCGGCTTCTGACCAGAGAGTTGAAGGTTTCCAGGTGCGCCTCAGTGTCTTCGTCCGGAGTGCCGTACCATTTCTTCAACGTCCGGAAAATCAGTCGCCGGTCACACTTCAGCTCCTCTCCTGTACTGGGATTGCTGTGGTTGTTGGCGCAGCAGAAACACTCAGCATCTTGGATCTTGAAGCCATCGAGGTGCTCCGGCAAGGCCTGGATGTCACCTTACATGCTTGAGGAATGCATTTTGTAATAGCTTATACTAGACCCTTGTTGAAACAAATTCTCCACGATCCCTGGAATCTCAGGAATTTTGTCATCCCTGCTTGGGGAGACAAGACAACCAGAAGCGCAAAGCTTTCCAGTTTGCAGCACGTGACGGATCAGCCCCATTCCAACAAACATGTAGAGGGGCGCGCCGCAGAAGAGGATGAAAAGCACTGAACCACCCACAATTAGCCACTCTTGTTCACCCGACTGATCAAAGTACTCACTGGCTGCATCGTGGGCAAATCGAATCACTTGCCAGCAGACGCAAAAGGCAAGAAGTGTCGGTGCCAGCTTGACGGGCATGATGCGAACCGACTTCTCCTTGCCAGGCTCTCGTAGAAAAGTTCCAAGTTCATAGGTGCACCATGCTCCTGGGAAGGCCGGCGCTTACTGCTTAGGTTGGCTTTGCTTGCTCCGCTTAGGTGTACAGGGACTTTGCAATCTGCAATCAGCTTGAAAGCATCTTGGCCTCTTGGCTCAAGTTTTATGTGCCTCATATTATAACACACCGGCATTCAAGGAAGTAGCAGCTCAACTGCCCAGGCACTCTTGAAATAGCGCGGTGACCAAAGAACTGCCTGAGTCGGGAGTCGAACACCAAAGCAATCTGGAGCCAGGTCCACAAATCCAAAACAAGGCCTTAGAAAACCATGCTGCACGTGCTGGCCCGAAGCTAGGATGTTTGACCTGTCCAGGAAACCAGCGAGTCCCAGAATGCCTTGCTCTTTGAGTTTGTCGTTAGTCTGCGAAATACAGAGACGATCCAGAAACACGACTAACGGCCGCAAGAAGAGCTCCCGGATATTCTGCCAGAAGAAGAGAAGCAAATAGAATGCGATCAGTGGAAATATTTCAGTCCATCTCTCGTCAGGCAAGACATGGTACACGCGCAAGAGACCCACCGCAAAGCTAACTAGCATAGATAAGATAGAGGCAGCACGGACGTTGAACATCATCACAAGTGAGCAGAGTTTTAGCCATCGCGATGTTTTCCAATCGTGGCTCAGAAAGACATCGAAATTTTCCGCTCTCTGGCAGAACCGACGCGTTGCGTAGAAATCATCTGTGTATTGGCTTGGAGCTGCCCAATGCTGTCCACAACCACTCAGGCAAATGCTCAATGGCACTCCTTGTAGTAGATGCGGACTCAAATCTGAGGGCAGTGAAGTTAGCGCCCGCTTCATGGGCGGGTTCCTAAGTGCCGCCTTGACACCCTACACTTCACCTTGAGAGGGCAGCAATTGCAGACAAAAGCTTCACAATGGCAGAAACACATGAATACATATGAAAACATGAATGTTAGAGCAAGACTTGTGCAAACCATCAACCTTCAGACTGAGGCGTTGGCCGCAAGTGGCATCCAGCATACTTCCTGCACAATTGATGTCAACATGAAATCACAGCATCCGCTTGTGAAAAGAGTGCGACCAAGCAGCTTGGTTGGCAGGGAGCGGCACTGCACGGCAGAAAGGCAAGCTGGACATCTTTGCCTTCATGTGTCAGGGATGTTCTTACCCCGTGGAGCATTCTGCAGTAAAGACAAATTGGATGTCGATCCTGCCTCAGATGCTAACAATGAAGTCCAGCTGGGAAACCATGCACCTTGGTAGTTGATGCTGGTGTCAAGCTGCCTGAAAGAAGTCGCAGAAGTGAGGTGGGTACCACTCAGAATGTGCTGGGGGTCACCTTCAGATGCACTGCTCCAAGGCTCAAAGTCTCAAGCTGACCCAGGCCTCCGAAGAGCACTGGAAGCAGGGCCAGGAGCTCGCCACATTTCATCTCGGGCCTCGGTGGGACTGGGACTAGGACTAGAAACTGTCCAAAGCCAGCCCGACGCGCCTCGTCAGCATGCACTTCAGGATCAGGTCAAACTCCGCGGCCCACTCCCTTTGCACGCTTGCTGTGCTCATTGATACTGACTCCATCATGTTGCCACTTTGCCAGTTCGTGCTCAATTTACATGTCAGGTCTGGGTGACAAAGGGCTAAGAGGAGCCCAAACTTGCCCGATGAGGCTGGCTGCAGCTCAGGATCGCCACAACTGACCTTGCGTATAGAACAGTGTCGAACCGCAGTGTCAGCTGCAGCCCATCGCCTTGGAAAGTCACAGGTCAAGAAAAACATGATAGCAAATGTAAAGGATCATAAAAAATCGGATGCCACAGCCCTCATGTCAGGTTCACATGGTCCTAGCCAAAGTCATCGTCAGGATGATGCATACTTGGTCAGTCCAAATCAGCATCGTCGCTTGTTGGCATCAGCATGGCAACCATGGGCAGCGCTGCACCAGTGATTGCGATGGACTCGTCAAATGCGTGGAGCGCCTAGCTGTGAGCTGAATTGTAAACATACCCCTGACAGATTGAAGAAACGCAGGAATGTAGGTTAGGCCTGAATCCAGGAAGTCCCATCCTCATCCGACAAGGGGAAATTCTCATACACCAGCGTCGTCTGGAACAGGTCCTCGGCCCGCACAAAACATCGGAGCTTGACAGCTGGCACCTGATCTGCCGAAGAACCCTGGAGCCGCGCAACTTGCACCACTCTCGGATGTCAGCCTGCAGTCGAACAGCTTGCGCAAGATCAGCGCAGATGCGACGAGGCCCATGCGAGGTTGCAGTACCTCAGATAAGCACCGCTACTTACAACGCATGCACCGCAGCAACTTCGGCTACAACCACCCATGAGGAACCGGCTGATGTTCTGCCACTTCTGCCAGAAGCCGCTGGAGCCACAAAGCAAAATCTTGCGGGGCATTCGGATTCTCGGGGTTGGTTCTAGTGAGGTTTGAATACGCTTAGGCTTCTCTGTCTTCCGCGCGGCCTAGACAGCTCAAGCCCTCAGGAACAGGAGCTCGAAGAGGAACAGTGGAGATCAGCAGCCCCACCAGACCTGCCAAAGGGCCATCTCCATTCCAGAATGCCTGCACTTGTGAAATTGCTTCCGGCAAGCAGAGTTTGCTATCTGAAGTGAACAGGAGCCCAACGCATGTCTCCATAAACAGACTTCTAACCTGCTTCCAGGACAGCTGTAGCAGACGTCAAAAATGGAAATCCACCTTCTACACCCGGCACAGCAGCATCACGTCCAGAGAGGACTGCGCCGAAGACGTCACCCAATTGGCGATGAGCCTTGGGATTTGGATCTTTGCGGATGGCCTCCTTGCAGAACAAAGCAAAAGAAACTTAAGGAGCCATGGTACCAGCAGCAGTGCCCAGGCAGCGTGAAGCAAAGCACCGGATGTGGCACCTCGTTGAGAGAAGGCCTGCATCGTAAGTCTGCAGGCAATTCTTGCAGCAGCTCGAGCTGCAGCAGCTTAAGAGTGCGAGGTTTCTTGGCCTTGATGGCATCGTCAGACCAACTCTTCAGGCACTGACGCAACTGCATTCTTGATGTTGGCCCCTTGTCAAGAAGCATTGTTGTTCCACAAACTCACTTCTTTCAGCTAAGACTGGCAGTCCTCGCGGGACTCTTGATGTGGAGCTGGCAGACCTGCAGAGCGGAAATTTGAAATGCTTGCGTCGGCATCCATCTACAAGCATGAGAGCATATCGGAGCCAGCCTGTCTCGGACAGGTGCTGGCGCCAGAATGTTTGCATTTCCTTTTGTCGCATTTCCTTGCAGTGCGAAGGCTGCCGGGTGCCGGGGAGCTAAGGGAGGAGAACCTGAAAGGGAATAACTGGCCAGGGCTCAGCCTGGCGCCGCACGAAGAGGGCAAAGGAGGCCAGGGATGGGGCTGGTGCAAGCACACCGCCTCCTCACAGGGTTTTGACTTCGTTCATCCAGCTTTCGCATGCATGGGCTTTGTTCTGAGGCACTTTGGCATCTGCGTCGAACGCTTTTCTGAAAGATTGTACACCTGCCCGGCTTTGCTACACCGTCCTCCATAGAAGTGCAAAGCATCCTGGAGTATCAGCGGGTTGGACCACCCGTCCGTGATACTGTGGTGTTCCGTTCGCACGAAGACATGCAGACCATCCTTGCACTGCAGGCTTGTGATCTAGCACATACATACCCAAGGCTGGACTTATAACCTGGAGAAATGAGACCAGCCTGGATCTGCTCTGTTCCACGACGAACCTGTCACACGTTGAAACTTCCGAGTTGTTCCAAGTCTCTGATGTAAGAACGTAACATTTGGCCCTGCCACCTCAAAAAGTGCGAAGCGAAGAAGCGGACCACCGCTGCAAAAACCTACCGCCGCATCATCGTGGAGGAAGCGACAGAGCAAGCCTGGTTGCAGTTCAGGGTAAAACAAGCAAGCAAGACCATAGAGAAGCAGTGACGCGCAAAGGACTTGACCGGAACAGCGCAAGCGCTTCTTGCAGCCAAGGCTCTCCGCAACTTAGGCACCTCTGAGCTTGGGTTGTCGACATGCAAGAGAAGACTGGCGGTTCTCAGAATCCAGACCTCGTCCGGATGAAGCAGAGGCAAAGACGCACCATCACCGCTGTACCTGGCGGCTTCGGCTGCTGTCTGTCGGGCACGGGGTTTTCAGCTCAGCTCAACCAAAGGCGCAAAAGAGAAGTGCAGAGGCATGAGACAAGCCATATGAAACGTCAACGAACAAAAATATGGAGACCAGCAGCGTGTAAACGAGCGCACAAACATGTGGAGTTGAGGACAAGAAGCCACACATCTGCGACCCGACTTCTGTGTTTCATGAAAGTCCTGAACAAAGCAGAAACAACTGAACCCATCCAGACGAACGTAGACACAATGGGTGAAAGCACCTGAAAGGAATGAATCAAGCTTGATTTTCGGCGGCTAAAGGTCGTCACCTGGCAGGCGAATCTTGTATCTCCGCTGCCAAATCCCAGACACCCTCCTGTCAGCGACTCAATTCAAGACCACGTTGCAGCATTTGCAGCCTACAAGATGTTGCATCGCTCAGTGGCATAGCTCTTCGAGGGAAGATCGATTGTGGCAAGCCATTCGGGTCATCAACACTTAGCAAAAGTGGTGAGAATTGTGCCCAAAGGGCTGCGTCCTGCCACTGTGCTGTACCCGCTGCTGACCCGGGCTTGAAAACCACCTGCCGCAATCATCGGAAGAATTGAGGCTAGGCAAGGGAAAGTTCTCCAGTTCAAAGTAACCATCTTATATGACAGTTCTGTAGCGGCCTCTCAGAATCATGCGGCCATGATTGGGAATCTCTGTAATAAAGATCCTCGTATGTTCGACACACGTAAGGGACTCCTGTTCTTGAACTGAGGCCGACTTGCCCAAGCCGACTTGAATGAGGTCTGCCTGCCAGAAGCGAGGACCCTTTTGACCAGGCTGTGGGGCGATCGTGGAGCGTAACGCCTTGCCGAGCAAGCAAGATTTAGTACTTGCTGAGATTGCTGTTGTTTGTTTCTTCGTGTGGTTTGCTTTGATTGCTCCTCTCCCAAGCTCACAGTACACTAGACGCACAGCGCTATAATCTGTCCTAATTTGGAAAGCCGCATCTTTGGCAGATCCAATCTTGTGTTGAGGAACCATGGTTGGCAGTACACACACTTGAGTTTGAGTCATACGGGCTGAGTCATGCGGGCACGAAACTTGGCACGCTCCCAGATCAACTAATGTTCACAACTCACGCGGACTCATGTTCATTACACTCTTTGTGGATACCAGCTGCAACACTGTTGCCCAGATACTCCACATGCAGGTACGTTTTCATGGACTTTCAACGGAGCTTCGTTGGCGACGGCCATTCCTGAAAGTCCCCGTTGCCCCCTGCAAATATGACATGAGCACTCTGCTCTCAATGGCTTTCCCAAACTCTCAAAACGTCACGACCATGTCGATTGTTAAGGTTCACGCACAAATCATCAGAAACATTCTGAAACATGCGTGCCACCATGGGCTCAAGCTTGAAACTCGACATGTACAAGTCTGATGCTGATCTCTGTTGATGTTGCAACGCTTGGCGACAGAGCTCCTCACACACAAAAAAAGCGCCCGCCTTTCCTCCCTGTTAACCCCGACAGATTGCTCACTCACTCGAGTTTGGCTCTGTAGAAAAGCCAGGAAATGTGAGAAACATGCAATTGAGAAACGAATGCGCCCAGGGCTTGTTTGCTCTGCGTGCTGTCTGGCCGCATGCGCAAAACAAACAAGAAAGCACGCAAAGCAGCAATAAAGCAAAGCAATGTACCATCTTGGGAATGTTATCACAAGCAGAGACGAATCGTCATGCT